CTTTTGTGAAAAAGCGCCTCTAAAACAGAATACGGAGCCAAGTTTGGAGGCGTTTTTAAGGTTAGAAGTGCCTCTAATTCATTTTACGTAGCACATTTTGGAGGCGCTTTTTTCGTCAGAAGTGCCTCGAAATAAAAAAAATCATCAGAAGCGCCTCTGTTTGGGCCACGCGTGCGGCGCTTTTTCTATAAGAAGCGCCGCAAAATTCCGAAATTATTATTATTTTTTAAATATTAGAGGCGCTTCCAGTCAAAAAAGCGCCTCCAATTGAGATTTGCTGCACATTTTTTAGAGGCGCTTCAAAGCGCCGCACGTGAGCCATTTGAAGCGCCTCTGATTCACAATTTTGCACTAGTGATAAATATTAAAAAAGTATACAAAGTAAGAAATAGTGTATGAAAATGACATACAATATACTTATTTTATGTGGATAAATAAAATTTTGTATTAAATTGGTAAAGATAAAATTTAATTCAGTTAGAATTTAATTATTTCAAGATAAAGATAAGTAAAATATCACAAACAATTAGATGTAAGTCGCGCATAAAAATATGTAACTCGCGCATAAGAAGATGTAATTCACGCATAACAAGATGAAACTCACGCATAATAACATGTAACTCGAGTATAAGATGATGTAACTTCGTATATTATCAAATGTAACCCAAGCTAGAATCAAAATAAACAAAAGCAATAAAAAATATTGAGTGTATACATATAAAAATATATTACAAATAATGTATTGATATAAAAAGATATTATAAAAAATAGTGTATGAATATGAAATGCAATGTATTTATCTTATTTAGATTATTAAACTTTTTGTTATGTACTTATAAAGAATAAAAAATATATTCAATTATAATTTAAATTGAAGATAAGAAAAATTAAAACTGCAATTAAATTTTTAACATTTTAATTTGATGGAAATGGAGAAGAATTGAAGAAAAGAAAAATAAATAAAGAATAGCAAAAAAGGGAAGGAAGAAGCTCCAGCAAGAAAAGAAAGCAACGTACGTAACTTGCTAAAAGTGGGATCGGCACACCATGCGAAAGGTGAGCCGATCCCACGGTATAATTTGCCCATAATCAGTATTTTATTTTTATTTTTGATAATCTACCCAATATTGAATAATTGATTTATAAAGTTTGGGACTGATCAGTTCATTATACGGATCAGAGTAACTTATTCAAAAACACACCTTCATTTATTTCATTAATTATAATATTCATATAAAATAGTCCGTTCATATCATTGTATTATTATTAATCACTTAGTCCTTTTATCTTAATAAGTCATTTATTTAGTCATCTTATACTATTTTTATTATCCTACCAATAACAAATTCAACATAATTCCTTCTAATATTCTCACAGTCAAATACCCTTAATTTTATCTGAATTGCAAATCATTATTACTATACTTTGTATCTATGCTTATTATCCCGTATTAGAGTTACTGTTATTATTATTAACTAACCCATATGGTTTAATATTTTCAGATAGCTTAAGTTTAATACCAAGTAATTAAGTGTCCAGTTACATAATTCAAACTAGACTCCAGCCCATTTATATTAAACAAAAACGAACGTAATTGATTATTGGAGATTTCTATGGTACCTCTTCAAATTTGGAGTGTATCATACATTTGCCTTTCTAATCCAATAGCATTTCAAGTCAATTCATTAATGACACTATTCCATGTCCCACTATTTCCATGTGTCACTATTTCATTTGCCCACACAATGAGATGCACCATACCTTCCAAATTTTCAAAGGCACCATAGCATGACCCTTGATTATTACGTACGTCTTCTTCCTTATGAAGGGACGACCGACGACGAAGCGGGCTTCTTTCCACGCGGCAACTTCTTCCGGCGGCAAGAGCGGAAGCTTCTACTTCTACGGACCAGCAGTAGGTCGTCCTAGCGATGGAGTCAAGTCCGGTATATCTTCTGCTTCGTTTTTCTTCTTCTCCGTCAAAGATGGTGGCCGGTGATTTCGCGACGGCGTGTAGTGGTCTCCTAGCTTTCTCTCCCTCTACTTCCTTACATATATATGTATATGTATTTGTTTGGTCGTTTTTAGCATGGCTGGCTAGGGAACAAAGTCCATTTATATACACATATGTTGGTGTTATCACAAAGCTTCGGATGATTATAATTTTGTTTGTTTTGTTCAAAGTTGTCCATGTATTGGGATGATTCAGCTATTTCCTTGCTGCGTGGATGGTTATGTGTATATTAACGTATGTATGTATATATGGGTATGTAAGTATATATGGGTATGTATGCGTGTGTCGTAATATGTATATATGTCGATCATGTAGTATTATATATGTATATTAACGTATGTATGTATATATGGGTATGTATGTATATATGGGTGTAGTAATATATCAATACACATGCATAGGCACATAGCTATTTGAATAGTCAAACTTGTATGTATTAATATTGGTGTGTATATTTTAAATTTTCATTGTAATATACTTTTATTATTTTAGGTTTTATATTCTAAGAATTTTATTTGATTAAGATTTAATAATATCAATTTATTTTATATTATTTAAATTTTCGGGATGTCACACATAATTTGTAACTGTGTTATTTCAAGGTACAAAGTGTTCTACTGATTATAAGAGCTCTTCTTTCTTGAGCACACTTGGTAATCAACTTTTGCCATCAAACAAATTAACTTTAATAGACATGATAGTTTATCCAAACTAAATCATATAAAGTAAGCCAATATAGACCAACTAGTAGATAAAGTGCGCTAAAAGGGATGAACCTATGTCCTTGTTACTATGCTAAAAGCACAATATGGGCTCCTATAATATGAGTTGTAGAGTTAATTTATAGTTCTATATATTAGTCAACTTATAATTACAGCTCAATTTGGCCCGCTTAAACTATCTTTCTGATTCGCGGGGGAGGGGCTAGATGTGGTGCATCTTTTTATTATAATGCAATGTCAATCTACTCACTAGATAAATATTAAAATGACAAGTTAAACCCTATACAAACTAAAACAATTTGATTTCCTCTAAATGTCCTCTTTTTAGCTTTTTATGTGTTGTAGTTCATGTGTAAAACTACCAAGACAACAACCTACATCTTTATATCTTGCATGGTTGCATGCATCTTCCCATGTGAGATTGATATATTTATCTGTCTCGAGCGTTTTTCCGTTGGTGAGGTAAGTTGGTTTGTTTTGGTCAAATTTTGCTATTTTTTATAACTTATGATGAATCGGTTGAGTCACACAAAAGGGGGTGAATTGTGTGTGCGTTGAACTACGACAGTTTTTTTTGCTGAGTTCTAGTGCAGGGCAAAGGGAAAACAGAAATTAAAGGACACAAAGATTTAATGAGGAAAAATCTCTTGGCTCAACAGGGATTAAAAAACCTCGACCTCCCTCTGAGGAATTTGAAAAACTCTTCTCTAAAAGCCTTTAAGCAAGTTACAAGATAAACTCTTCTAGTTTACCCTTGATCCACCCCAACTGTAGCCTCTCTAGGTAGAGTTCTCACTACATTACCTTGTGGGTAAGGAGTCTCTTACCTTTACAACAAAGCTCTCACTTCACACCCCAACCCTCGGAGGAAAGCATTCTCAAATGTTCCTCTTAACCCCAATACAATAGAAGAAATTGAATTACAAAAAATATAACTGCTAATGGAATTGTCACGGTTCTCGGTCTTCAATGGGGTGCTTGTATAATTCTCCTTATTTGAGTACTTTCTTCTCGGTTCAAGCGCGCCTTTCTTCTCCCTAATCTCAGCATATATATAAGATGTTTGAAGCAAGTCTGTTGATGTTTTATTTCCTAAGATGGCCGAGTTGCTAAACGTGGAACTTGCCTTGATATTATTTGAATCACTTTCCTTCTACGTGGATCCTTTACATTCAAACTCAATGTATATGATAATCAATTTGAGATACATAATATCGCACAGAAGGAAGTAATATATTGGCTTGTCAAATATAAACATGCAACGGTCCACATATAATTATGTAGCAACACATCATCATTTTATGGTAATAAAATATTCATTTAGAGCTACGGTCAACCAAAGGCATGAGTCATGCAATCATTCATTATTAATAATACTTTAAGATATTCATCAAAATATTCTATGGTCAACTTAGCTAATCAGGCCAAGATTATCTCCATAACTTATTAAACGATAAAAGTCAACTTTACTTAGGTGGATGTCTAGTCATGCATGCAAAGAGAATAAGTGACTCATGTTACCTACGTATAGAATGGTCATGCATAAAAAGATATTTTTGCTTAAAAATAATATTCTTGACAAAGCATAAGCACTCATATAAGGAAAGCACATTAATTGAAGATCAAGTAGATGTGATCATATTAATTCAAACCATTCCACAGAACGAGATCTGGTTCTGTATTTGTTCCACCTGCAGGGTTAGTTATCAACTCAATAAAGATGTCCATTTGGACCTGGGATTAGTTCTGTCTTAAGGAACTGTGAGCGGCCCTGTCTGCCGTTCTACCTGCATGGTTAGTTATCAACAAAACCACATATGTCTCTGATACCATGTGTTGTCCACATGGAGGTTGTCTCTGATACCCTAGACAACCAAACAAGTATTAAAAGCAACCTTTTTTACTATTTGAGGTCACTACTTGCTATTGTAGCCTTGGAGTGTATGCTTGGTGATAGGCTCGTTCCGTCCCTATCTTTCACCCATATTTTGGGTGTTAATTGTCTAATTTTTATAATAAATCGGGTGACTATTGGAGGTTTTGAGTGAAAATTTGCTATTTTCGGTCCCGGTGGCATTCGTATTCGGTGTAGTATTTTTCTACATAATTTGACATTTTTGGAGTAATTTGATTGTAAAATTGCATATGATTAGCGGGTGTGGTGAGTTGTGATTGTACAGACTGAATTTGCGGTGAATAACGCATTTATGTTAGAGCGGGACACTCTAAAGGCTCTTGAAAAATAGTTTTGCACAGCCCAAATGAAAAAAAACTGCAGCAAGTTGTTTAATCCAAGTGCAGCCCAAAAAAACAAAAAGAAGTGAGGTTTTTTTCCCCTGGAACCATCAGCCGCACCCAATTTTCTTTTCTTTCCTGGGATTTTGTGAAAGCAGCCGCAGATCAATTCTATTCACGAAGCACAAAAAACAGCAGCCGCAGGGGACTCCATTCTTTCTGTTCGTTAGCACTTAGCCGCAGCAAGTATTTCTTTTCTTCTTTTGGAATTAGCCATAGCAGCAGGAAAGAACTAAGGAGGTTCCTCAACTTCACTTTTCTTTAATTTCTCTCAATTCAATTTAGATTCCAAGTGATGATTGTAAGATTGGATATATTTCACATTACCAATTCTTGAGTTTGGATTGATTTCGAATCTCTTTGTCTCCAATTAGTAATTACAGTTTTTTTTCCCAATTTAATACTCATAGTTCAATTTTTATTTCTAGCTGCTTATCATGTTTATCAATGTTATTGTGATGTTAGTTTTAAGCATGAGTAGCTAATTCCATAAAGGGTTTGAATTGGGGCTAGGGTTCATGGGCTCTTGAGAGTGTGAATTTAGTTTTTGAAATTCAATGAATTTTCTGGAAAATTGTATAAGATTACTCTTAATTGTCTATATGAATTTGATCGCCTCATATATGAATGTTTGGATTTAATTCAATTCTTGTCTATGGAATTTGCGTTAAATTAGCTTGGATCTTATACAAGCAATCTGATCTTAGAAATAAGTTAAGATTGTGATAATTTGATTTAATTCTTGTCTAGGAGAATTTATTTCATTTTCTTTCCAGGAATAATTAAAAATTAATTTACTTAATTCTCATCTCGAAAGAACACCCAGAACCCAAACCATTCAATTTGAACCCTGTTTTAATATCTAGAATCAGGTAAAAAAAACTTACTCAATTTATTTTTTTTTGCACTCGTTGTTAGTTAATTTACTTTTTTTTTCCACCTGAAAACAATTTATTCGGAAAGATTACCATGACTTGTGCTAGCCTGTGATCACGGACAGTATTTAAAACTTCCTTTTTGCCACTCCTTGAGAGACGATACTCGTGGTCTGGTTATTCTACGTATTAACCAACTACGTTTTACTCACTAAAAAAAAATACACCGATCACTTGGTAAAATAAAAAAGTACTCCCTATGTTATATGTATGCAGTATTGGGTATTTCGGAATTGGGAATTGGGTACCGGTGACTTAGTGTATTAGTGTATTATATTACACACTTACAATATCAGATGAATAAGATTTGATAAATACATGAAATGATTAATTTTGATGGTATTGGTAGTAGTGAAGTAGTTTATTAATTGATATGTTTGTGTTTTTATTTACTTTGAATATAAAGTGGTAGTTAGTCTCGATTGCATTAATGTTATTATGATTTTGCACTTCAAAAGGGAAGAATAAGAGGTCAATAGGGTGTCCTACTGTCCTTGTAAATATTATAAATATTATATCGTACATTTTGAATATGTTTTTTTTGCATATGCTGTTTTTTATTCAAGGTATTTCTTTTCAATATGATTTTTGCGTCGTATATATCTTTTCTGTTTTCCCATCATTTGCAATGGAGCCAAAGATTCATTATTTTTTGGCTTGAGATTATAATGGAATAAAGTAAAATGCCTCACTAAAATGCATGCGCTTCTTTGTTATGAAGCAGCGGTCAGTCCATGCAATTTTGGACGCGATTTTCATTATGGGTCACCCGGAAACAGTCTCTCTGAGCTTTAGTACAGGAGTAGGACTGCGTCCATCCGACCTCCTTATCCCACCGTAGGTGGGAGACTTTGTGGCACTGGGGTAAATGAAAATGAAAATGATACTCCCTCCGTCTCTTAAAACTTTGTCAACTTTCTTTTTTTGGATGTCCCACTAACTTTGCCACTTTTCCTTTTAAGTAAAGAATTTGTGGTTCCAGTTAATTGTCTATCCTTTACACAAATCTCAACAATACAATTTTTACTTTATTAATCTCCACACCCGTCAAACTTGTCAAAATTTTAAAGGAGAGGGGCGGTATATCTTTTCTGTCTAGCCTCCGAAATACTAAAGAGGCCCCTGTGTTTGTTCTTACATATCTTTTTCTATCTTATCAGCAGTGAATAGACCAAGCTTAGAGAGGGTGTTGTTGAGGTTCGTTCTGTATCAGTTCTTTCGGTTTCCGGTTTTGTGTTTTTATTGTACACTAAATCGGAACAATGAGATTGGAGAAGTGCTGGTTTTGCTCATCTACTATATACCCTGGCCATGGTATTCAGTTCGTTCGGAATGATGCAAAGGTAGGATACTGTTTTATATACATACATGCATACATATCAAGTTCTTGGATTTCCTTTCCGATGTATAAAAAAATCAATTTCTTGGATTTATAAGTATAGGCAAATAATAGTTTATTATTATGAAACGGAAGTATTAAGTTAGTCAGTTGGCTTTGTTTGAGCCCAATGTGCAATTTAGTCCTTTAGTATAGCGTACAATTCAATACTTGCTCGTATGATTCAATATTTATTGGATACATGTGTATATTGATATGGATTCGGTGCATATTGCTTTGTAATGTATCTGCTTAATTTTTTTGATTGAATATCTTTATATCACGCTAACTATCTAGTTCACTTGAGTGTCAAATGTTTGTTGAGAAAGTTAACCTCAAAATTAGTCACTCTCAGAATTAGTCTCTCAGCTGTCGCTCATTTCACCTTGTTTTGAGGCCTAAGGGTATGTGGTTTAGTTTCTCTGCCTGTCTGGCTGCCTCAACACATAATCATAGAAGTGTATAGTGGTTTATTGCATCCTTTATAGTGGTTTATATTCACAAGAAATAAATGCACATTGTTTAGTTTTTAGGAGTGTTCATTATTTAAAAAAATCTAAACTGCAGGTGTTCTCTTTCAAAGATATGAGCGTAAGCCTCAAGGTGCGCTGCAGTGTTCCTGAAAAGGATTCTTGACTCTCGATGATAGGCCTAAATAAACATTTGGTTACATATAAGAATATTCTTACTCCCTTAGTCCCCAAAACAGTCTTATTTGAAGAACTTCTTTAAAGAGCCCGACTTAAAAGTCGAATTATATTCGAAAGTAGAATTTGTGTAGTCAAGTGGCAAGTGGTTCTAGTAAAATATTATAAACAATCCTGGAAATAAGTTTTAGGGGTATAAGTCACCATTCATAATTTGTAAAAACTTGTAACTGGATTCAGTTGACTTCAAAAAAGTTTTACCTTGAGGAGGGGATTCCTCATGTCCACCATGACAAAATCAGAAAACACAGTAAGATTCAGTGCTCCATAAAAAAGAGCCCCAAACTAAGCAATCAAGATCAAAGTGCACTAATACATAAATTTCTTAAGAGTTAATAGTATTAAACCAAACAACAGGTACGCACGTTGTCCAAAAAGCTAACTGAAACAGTGTAACATGAGGACATGACATAATCCTATGAGTGATTATCTCATACTACCTCCGCCCCGTTGGAAGGTTCCTATAGCAAAACGGCACGGTTATTTAGACAATAATTAAATAAAATACTTCAAGTATATTTTAAGAAATAATTTTAATAGGTATATTATAATGTAGTTAGTATTGATAACTGTGATGTTATAAATGTATTATTTTTAATATTTAACGATTAATTTGTCACTTAAGATTGTTAATTGTTTCCTAAAATGGAAATGGGAACCTCTATATGGGACGTCCAAAAAAGGAAAGTGGGAACCTTCTAATGGGACGGAGGGAATATCTCTCTATCATTGACTGTTTAAAAGCTAAGTTAGTTCATGTTAGAGGCATAATGAGAAGAGTCATCATGACCTCGTCTTTGAATCCTCAAATTTCATATTGTGACTGATGTCAAGCTTAACGTCATCTGGCTCCTTTGACTTACTGCCACTTTGTTAAGGGATTGTGGGAGGTGCTGTTTTGATTCCCCTCTCTTCACTGTATCTGTTTTAAAATTACATTTGATAAAACATAGCAATTGACTCATTTGGCATTGTGTCCATGCATGCGGGATCCTTTCATCTCCTCCTCATCAAAGCTGTAGTAGCTTAACCCATAATGTAGAAAACATTTAGCAAGCTACTAAACTGTCATAGTATCATATCCAGAGCTTATGTTTAAACTGAATAAATTAATATGAAAAAGGAAAATATAAAACAGAGTATCACTCAAAGTCTCAGCAAATAAAATATCAAACAAACTGAAAGAATAATTTAAACAAATCGATGTAGCAAATTAATGATATTGCTATGAGTCATTTTAAAAACTAATAGACTCAGGAAATAAAATAGGAAATTAGCCTCCCAAGAAACAGAGTTTGGTATCATGAAGTAAAATAAATGTAGAAGAAGATGAGAAAGAAGTAGAAGAAAAGAGGAGGAGAATACCTCATTTGCTTGCAGCTGGGTCATGTCAGAGGGTGCAGCTTGGTCACTGAAGAAAGATTGATGCGCTAGTTCTCAAAGCCTCTGACTTCTCTCCTCTTTCCCTTTTATTAACCTGTTATTTCTTTAAAATTGTGCTGAACACCTGGTAAGCTTAATAGCCCTAACAGTATTTATAAAAAGTATACAAAAAGAACCTAATCAGCACACTGTAATGTGTGCTCTTTTGCTAAATGGCCTAAGCCACGATTTGATGTACACTTTTTAATTTTTTTCGAAACACATGCAGTGTATATTTTTTAAGTTTCCAGATTGTATGTTAGCATTTCACCGTGTCAGGCTACTCAGAGATTAACTACTTATTTGCTTAGTTCTGTACTTGTTGAGTATCTAAGACTTGTATATTTTCATGTCAAGCTATGTTCAGCCCGTGGGGATCAGTTGTCCCTTGAAATATCAGATTTGCATCAACAATTTGGATTTTTGACTTTTTCACCTTAGTTTGTGGGACATTTTCATATAAGTTAGTGATAGACAAGGTCAATACCACCAGAAGTTCACAGTGAAAAGGGTAAGAGAGATGATCGGAAAACTTTATTAGCTAACCGAACAGTTCACGAAGGATACAATGCTCAGGGGCGAATTCGAGAGGCCCAATCTCCAAAGTTCTGACATCCAACAAAATAACAGCCTGCATGGCTGCATTTATTAGCTACTAGCATACTATTTAAAGTAAAAATGTCCACGCAGGGACAAAAGTAAATAACTAACTCATGAGCTAATTTACTAAACAGCCCTTCCCCTCTTCCTTTGATGAACCTTATTAAAATATTTGATAGGTTGCTGAGCTGGCTGCCTATCAATACTCCCTCCCTGGAAATTCACCTTGTCCTCAAGGTGAAACGCTGGAAATAGCTTCTTCATTACTTGTGCATCTTCCCAAGTGTCTTCAAATTTTGGTAAACCCTTCCAATGTATGAAAACCTCCTCTTTTCCTTCCTGATTTCTCCTGATCTCCACCACTTCCTCGGGTATCACTTGTAGCTCTAGTTCTTCATTGAGGCATTTGGGCAGGTCCTGGCAAACAGTAGTAGGGGCTAAGGCCTTCTTTAATAATGAAACATGGAATACAGGATGTATCCTGCTGTCTTCTGGAAGTTTGAGTTTATAAGCTACAGGACCAATTTTTTCCAGAATCTGAAAAGGGCCATAAAATCTGGGGCTCAGCTTCTGATTTATCCTCTTGGCCAGACTTTTAAGTTTGTAGGGCTGTATTTTGAGATAGACCAGATCTCCCTCAGTCAACTCCATCTCCCTCCTATGCTTATTTGCTTGTTGCTGCATTAGATTCTGAGCTTGAGCTAGGTTTCCTTTTATTTCATCCAACATGGCATTCCTTTGGGCTGTCAATTTGGATACTTCCTCCACAGCAGTTGCAGACACATCCCCCCTGATGACTGCAGGAGGGTCTTGCCCAAATAGAGCTTTGTAAGGGGTCAATTTCAAAGAAGAGTGGTAGTTTGTGTTGTACCAAAATTCAGCCCAATGTAGCCAATGGGTCCACTGTCTAGGTTTTCTCCCAGTTATGCATCTCAGGTATGTTTCTAGGCAACGATTTACAACCTCAGTCTGCCCATCTGTCTGAGGATGGTAGGCTGTGCTGAATTTAAGCTGGGTACCTGCCAATTTGAAAAGCTCTGACCAGAAAGAGCTCATAAATACCCTATCCCTATCACTCACAATAGATTTAGGAAATCCATGTAGTTTAACCACCTCTTTTGTGAATAAATCTGCAACTTCCTTAGCATTGTAGGGATGAGATAAAGCTAAGAAGTGTGCATATTTAGTCAATCTGTCCACCACCACTAAGATTGTATCCTTGCCCTGAGATCGGGGTAGCCCCCCAATAAAGTCCATACTGATGTCTGTCCAAATGCTGCTGGGAATGGGCAAGGGTTGTAGCAGCCCAGCGGGTTTCAGAGCTTGGTATTTATTTGTTTGACAAATGGTACAACCTTCAACAAATTTTTTGATGTCAGTCTTCATTCCATGCCAATAAAACAGATTTGTTATCCTCTTCATGGTTCTAAAGTACCCCGAATGACCTCCCACTGATGAATCATGATATTCTTTTAACACCTTGAGTACTCTAGGGGACTGCCTGGGCAGTACCAGCTTCTTCTGGTAATACAATAACCCTTTAATTATCTGAAAGTCTGGATGCTGATCAGGTTGAGAGATGATCTTCTGAATTAAGTCATGACATTTAGGGTCAGAATGTAGCTCCTCCTCTAACCCCTCCCACTCTTGACAAGTGACAATGGAGAGAGAGTGTAGAATAGGTCTTCTAGATAAAGCATCAGCAGCTCTATTTTGACTCCCAGGCTTGTACTTAATGGTAAAATTGTATCCTAGCAATTTAGAAGTCCACTTCTACTGCTCCTCCCCCATAATTCTCTGTTCAGCCAAAAACCTTAAGCTTTTTTGATCTGTATGGATCTCAAAGAATCTACCCAATAGATATGGCCTCAATTTTTGTACAGCTAAAACGATAGCCATGAGCTCTCTTTCATAGACTGATTTACACTGATTTTTCATGGATAGTTCCTTGCTCATATAAGCTATGGGCCTCCCTTCCTGCATCAGAACTGCCCCTAGCCCTGTACATGAGGCATCAGTCTCTAGTATAAATTTTTTGTTGAAATCTGGTACTGCTAGCACAGGAAGTGAGGTCATAACTTGTTTCAGTTCTGCAAAAGCAATAGTGGCTTTTGAATCTCATTTGAAACTGTCTTTCTTGAGTAATTGGGTAAGGGGTAAGGCAAGTTTACCATAATTCTTCACGAACTTCCTATAATATCCAGTCAGCCCAAGAAACCCTCTTAAACCCTTCAGATCCTTAGGTTTTGGCCAACTGAGCATTGCTTCTATTTTGGCTGGATCAGCTGCCACACCTTGTCCAGATATAATATGACCCAAGTACACCAATTGGGACCTTCCAAAGGAGCACTTCTTCAAATTAATCACCAACTGATTTTCCTTTAACACAGATAACACTTCTCTCATGTGCATAAGGTGTTCTTCTTTGTATTTGCTGTTCACTAAAATGTCATCAAAGAAGACCAAAGCAAATTTTCTCAAAAATGGTCTCAATAGTCAATACCTGATTCATTAGAGCCCGAAAAGTGGAAGGGGCATTGGTTAACCCAAAGGGCATGACCAAGTATTCATAATGCCCTTCATGGGTTCTAAAAGCAGTTTTCTGTATATCGGCCTCTTTCATCCTTATTTGGTGATACCCAGACTTGAGATCTAACTTTGAAAAGATTATGGCACCTCCTAGCTCATCCAACAGCTCTTCAATGATGGGTATGGGGAATTTGTCAGGGATAGTAATCTGATTCAGGGCCCTATAATCTCCACAGAACCTCCACCCTCCATCTTTTGTTTTTGCTAACAATATAGGACTACTATAAGGGCTGTTACTATGTTGAATAATTCCAAACTGAAGCATTTCTTTGATGATCTTCTCTATTTCATTTTTTTGATACTGGTGGTACCTATAGGTTCGGATGTTGGGTATGTCAGCTCTCTCCTTGATGTTGATAGCATGATCACATGCTCTGTGGGGTGGTAACCCTTGCAAGGGAGTGGTTACCTCTGGGAATTCTGCCAACAATTCCTCCCACCCCTGATCCTTCATGTACCCTTCCTTTTCTTCTGTAAGAATGCCTTCACATAAGATAAGATATCCATCCCCACTGTCCTGTATGATCCTGGTCATGGTCTGCAATGATACTTCAAGGGAATTGAGCTGAGAGTCCCCTTGGATGGATTGCCTTACTCCCAAATGATGCCATGTGATGATTTGCTTCTGGAAATTAACTTCCACATCCCCTAAGGTAGTCAGCCATTCCATGCCAAGAACCAAATCAGTACCCCCTAATTCCAATACATAGAACTTTTGGTTAATAATGGTGTCCTGCAGCCTTAAGCTCAGCCCTTCACACCTGCCATTATTTGAGATCTTATCACCATTCCCAATCTGCACTTTGTACCCAGCAATGGTCTGGTAGGGTATGCCAACCTTTTCCACCAGTTTTTGTGATATAAAGTTGTGAGTAGCCCCACTATCAATCAGTGTTTCTACTGATAATTCCCCTTGGTTCCATTTCAAACTGCCTCGCACCTTAAAAGCTCTCAGGGAAGGTATCCCTTCCCTGCTCATCACAGAAAGCTGCATAGTTTTTGACTCCATTTTGATCTCCTCTTCCTCAGCTAGTTCAGGTTCTGTTGGCTCTGGGTCCACCTCTTCCTCAGAATCTTCTACTAATATCAGTTTGTAATTTTTTAATTTGCAGGTGTGTTCCTTACTCCACTTTTCCCCGCACTTGAAACAGAGTCCTCTCCTGCTCCTGTCTTGGTATTCCTCTTGAGAAAGTTGTGGCCCTACCCGCTTGATACCTGAGGGATTAATTTCAGTCACTCTTACCCCTGCGGGAGTGTACCAAGGCTGTTTGCCTTTGTTTTCTGCAGTATTTTTACCTCCAGTGTTGGACCATGGTTGTCCACCCTTTGCCTTAAATCCTTCTCCCCATACTGGTGGTTTTACATTCATGTTGCCCTTATCCTTCCCACTTGCTCTGTCCTCACCCTTATGCTTCAAGTAGACAGCATCATTTCTTTGTTCAATCAGCAATGCCCTATCCATGATAGCAGATAAGGACTTGGAATTATACAGTTTTAGTTCAGTTTTAACATCCTCCTTGAGACCATTAATGAAGATGCCTCTCAAAACACCTCTGTCCACGTCTTTCTGGGGGGCTATAACCATCTCGAATTCATCCCTGTACTCCTGCACGGTACCAGTTTGTTTCAAACTCAGCATAGGCCCGTAAGGATTCTGTATTAAATCAGGTTGAAACCTTCGGATCACAACATCCTTCAAATTTTCCCAAGTTCTCTCCTCTGCTTGGTGTTCCCACCACTGAAACCAGTTTAAGGCCCGATCCTCCATTGCAACTACAGAGACTTCCACCTTATCTTCCTCCTCTATCTGGTTCAACCGGTAATAACGTTCCATCCTCACGATCCAGTTGTAAGCACCTTCTCCATTAAATAGGGGTAGATCTACCTTCCTACCCGTATGTATATGACGAGAGTGAGCTTGAGAATGTATCGAATTACCTCTCGATTGCTCTGGGCTGTGGGTTGATCGTGAATGGTGGCGATGTAGTGATCCTGATCTTCCCCTGGGCTGATCGCGAAGGCTCTGAATCTGTTCGTTCATGGCGGCCATCGAAGCGGCGACGTTGCTCTGAATCTGTTCATTCATCGTCGCTATTGAAGCTGCGATGTTTGTGAGTTCCCGTTCCAGCGTATCAACTCGGTTTTCCATTTGTGACCTCGTTCTAACCATCCACCTTTGTAACGCAGACTAGATTGCCGTCGTGATTCCCTTTCCGATCCCCAAGAGCGACTGCTCTGATACCAGTGATAGACAAGGTCAATACCATCAGAAGTTCACAGCGAAAAGGGTAAGAGAGATGATCAGAAAACTTTATTAGCTAACCGAACAGTTCACGAAGGATACAATGCTCAGGGGCGAATTCGAGAGGCCCAGTCTCCAAAGTTCTGACATCCAACAAAATAACAGCCTGCATTTATTAGCTACTAGCATACTATTTAAAGTAAAAATGTCCACGCAGGGACAAAAGTAAATAACTAACTCATGAGCTAATTTACTAAACAGCCCTTCCCCTCTTCCTTTGATAAACCTTATTAAAATATTTGATAGGTTGCTGAGCTGGCTGCCTATCAGTTATAATGATTATATTTACGTCGGCTGATTTTTTTTTTTGTAAAACAAGATCTTTTTGTTTTGCAAATTTCCCCTTTTCATACTCCCTCCGTCCCATTGGACTTTGCTGACTTTCCTTTTCTATTTGTCCTACAAACTCTATCACTTTCCCATTAAACTAAATAATGTGTGGACTTGCTCGTTTCTCTTTTCGCTGTACAAACTTCAACCACATAATTATTACTTATTTTATTTCATACCTAAATCTAACTTGGCAATGTCCAATGGGACAGATGTGGTATGTTTTTGTTGTCCATATAGCAATTTTGTATATGGAGGCATATTGTTGATTGTCTGTGGCTAAGAAACAAATCGGACAGGTGAATGCTGTATTGTTTGTTGTGGGATTGTGTATATGCTTTATCTATATGTATGGCTTAATGCGTTTTTTTAAACTTTATTGATGATAGTCCATGTGTTTCTTCATCTGCAGATTTTTAGGTTCTGTAGATCTAAATGTCACAAGAACTTTAAGATGAAGAGAAATCCACGCAAGGTCAAGTGGACTAAGGCCTATAGGCGGTTGCACGGAAAGGACATGACACAGGCAGGCCACATCTATTTAATCTTCATAAAAAAATGTGTCAATCACCAATCGGTTTTCTTTTCTTTTTTGCTGCTGTTTTATTTACTGACAGTACTCTACATTTCATGCATTTGCATTTCTTCTTGGAATATTCAAACTGGAAGGACTCAACCTTTGAATTTGAGAGGAAGCGAAACAGGCCCGAAAGATACGACAAGAATGTAACAGAGAACACTTTGAAGGCCATTAAGAAAATTGTTAAAGTCAGGAGTGATAGGGAGGCTACTCATCACAAGAACAGGTTTTTTTATGTTCTTGCCAATTTGTCTACAAATTTTGGTGGATCCATTTATATAGAGATTTTTTCTATAGTATTATCAGATAATGAAAAAGAGGGAAAAATAATTCAAATACCCCATACTTTCAAGGGGTGCGAGGTCAACACCTCAAACCTGCATATGTAATATAAATACCCCGAAGTTTATATAATAAGCTATGTTGGCACCATGATCACATGCTTTTTCTTTCACAAATGTAAATTTACGGTGTTAAATTAATAATTTAAATACATTTATCATTTATGATCACGGTGCTAGGATAACTTTTTATATAAAGTTCAAGATATAAATATTACATATACAAGTTTGGGGTATTAACTTCATGCTCTTTCAAAGTTTGGGGTATTTAAATTATTTTTCCCTGAAAAAGAATACCATCACAGTCACAGTAGTCACTGCAAAAATATTAAAAGTTACATTTTGACTAAGTATTAGTATAGTGATATATTTGTGGTTATTGTTGCGTACACATACATAGTACATACAGATGTGCATTAATGTTTTTCTTGAAAAATCTCCCAGGTTGAGATCTAAGAAATATATGGTCCAGAAAGTAGATGCAAAGGAACTTGCACAGAGTATCCACATGGTCAAAGTTCCTTCGGCTCTCCAAAAAGATCCTTCACTCACCTTGCCAATCAAGGTCAAGGTCTCACAACAGTCCAAAGAAAACCGCATGGAGGAGTAATGTCTCTCTCTGCCTGTACTTGTCATTACTCATTGCAGACATTGGGCATTCATTACTATATCCGATCCCTCTCCTTCCCCTACTGTTATTGTTGGTGCCCTTTTAGCTTTAGGTGCTAAGAGTTTGATATCATTATATTATGTACCGCAAGAAAAAATGGTGTTTGATCAACTTCATCAAATTACAACCTTGTTTTGGTTTTGGTATGATCAACGGTTACAAATCATGAATTTTTATTCATATTTTTGAAATTATTTGTTGGTTAAGCGAACTGTAAAATCTTCAACTCTTATTTTGCAAGTTTCATGGAAAAGTCATGTAGATTGCAAGTTACATTCATCCATTCAACCATGGCAATGTAGACATAAAGGATTAGATGATTTCTATTCCATCACAATTTGTATTCTTTTTAAAATATAAAAGTTTTTGAGAAAATTCTATAAATAGAATTAAACATAAATATAGCGTGTAAGAGTATCTCCTTTGATGATCTCTAAAAGTCTATTTTGTTGTTCTAATTATCTTTTAGTTATTGCTACATAAATATTTTTTAAATTAATCATAAAATTCGTTTGTCTCCCAAGTCCCAATCACCATTTTTAAGTATGAGGAGGAAAATGCGAAAAAAAGAGAGGTGAGATTGTAAAAATATGAAATAGAAGATAAAAGAGCTCGTTTCGTAATATTTAAATCAGTTGTATTGGTTGATTCTGCTGAAATTTATGAGGTTTTGGCTGAATTGGCTGATTTTATTGATTTATGAAAAAAATTATATTTAAAATATATTTTATTAATTAATTAAAGAAAAATTATGTGAAAAATAGCTAAATCAAAATTAACTTCAGCCAATACAGTTAGAAAAGTAAATTCAATCTTACTTTTTTCTTTTATTACACAATTTAGCGCGCGAAATCAAAAGTTATGTGTTTGGGGAAAAAGTTGGCTAATGAGTCGAAAAACAAGGTCATCTAATACGCTCAAGGAGTAAAAAATAAATAAAAGTAATTGAGTATTTTTATAGGAAAAATTTATTAGAAAGGAAATTATAGCAAATTTTTAAATCCCTCCAAAAATGGAGAGTATAACAAACTTTAAAGTACGAAAGAAGTACTACCTTCGTCCCACTAACATTAAAACGGAAGAAGGTGACACGATTATTAAGAAAAATGAGTTTATGTGGTTCATATTGAATTGATAAAGTAAAAGTAAAGTAAGAATGATTAAGAGCCACACAAACTTTACAAATATGGTATGAGATAATCTTAGTGAGATTTCTCGAAAAGTTAAAATGGGAAAATCGGACGGAAGGAGTATATAATTTTTAAAAAAGTCTTAAAGTAATAGGAGTACAATCTCTTTACTCCCAAAATATGACTAATATATGTCCCTTCTTCCATTTTTGTCCCTCCTATAATTTCCAATAGATTTATGTTATTAATAAGGAAATCATAATTTTATTTATAATAAAAATATAAAAAATAATAATATATTTATAAATTAATAATAAAAACGTGAAAAACTAAAATAAAAACAAAAAAATCTAAAAAAATAAATAAAATATTTAAAATTCTTACAAAAAGTCTAAAAAATAAAATAAAATACCTAAAAAATATTTAAAAAATATGTATGTCACTGTCAACGCGTCCTCTACCTCCCAGCACCATCAGCTTCGGTCGTCGGAAAAAAATGTCATCTTGTGCAAAATATGTCACATTTCTCTAAAAATGCCATGAAGGTGACATTTTTATTCTTTGAAAATATCCAGCTTTCTCTTCAAAATTAGCCATCATGATGACATTTTGCTCCCAACTTGGCAATCCTTTTCGGCGACCGGAGGTGGCGGTGCTGGAAGGTGGCTGAGGTGGTGATTAAGGTATATATATATATATTTTATTTTATATGTTTTTTTATAATTTTTTATATATTTTATAATGATTGTTTAAAAAAATACTATTAGGAAGGACAAAGGAAAGGGTAGAATAGGATTAGTTAGTCCTATTTTGGGAATTTAAACTCCTATTGTTGCAATTATCCTTTTATTTAGTCCTATTTAGATAAATCTCCTAATCTGATATTTTGATTCTGAATTATTCTAAATAGTATCACTAAATAATCGATTACTCAATAGGGAATCTCTTAAAGTCATAATAATCTTTGTTGGGATATTGGCCCGAAAGCCCAATATACCAGGCCCATTAGTCAGCAAGGATCCAGATGAAGAGTAGGCCCATTAACTAGTTATACCGAACGGGATCCAGGGAACCATGAGGGATTATACCCCGAACGGGGATCGGGTCATGCAGGTAACTTGGATTAGATTAATAATGATATCAGCATGGGCATCACTCTGAAGCCCGAAGGGACAGCCTACAAGTGGCAAGGGGCATTTAATGCTAGGATATGGCGTCAGTAAGTGGGAGTGTGGGCATCCAAGTGACTCAAGAACGGCAACAAGTTAGATCCAGCCACGTCATCACCCCATCCCCTTTTATTAGTATAAATAGGGGCTCTAATCTCATTGTAAATGGTTAACATTTTGATACTCAAGGCCTAGAATAACTTTATCATTCTTACTATGGTATTATCACTATTCGGACGTGCTGTTCGGAATGTTTCCTGTGTAATCAGCGAATTGCTTAATAAAAGTGGGCTTTTGAGCATATTATTATTCAACTTTTATATTTTCTTATACCCTTGACTTATTTTCCACATCCTTAATATCTAAAGCGTGTGTTGGGCTTTCGGATCTGCGGGACTTAACCTCAACATTGGCGCCGTCTGTGGGAAACTTGAACAAGAAGTTTTCAAACCAACTATTTTACCCAAACATCAATCTACCATCACGATGGTCAGAATCACCTCTCATCATACCAATGAAGATTCAGAGCGACGCGGAGGGAGCAGGACTCCGGGGAACTGGACCCCTTAAGGGCAATCCACCGGGGATCTTACCAACATTTTGATGGGGACTTCTTCATCCCCGAAGCACTGAGGAGGAACTCCCACGCCATGCGGGATCTAGCCCAAGTAATGCAGCACATGGCAGATGAGCAAGACGGGGGGCGATCCAGCTACATAGGGGAAACCGGGTACACGACTCCGTCCCCTCTCCGATCGATGCAATCATTCGATGAGGAAACCACCGATACCAAGACAACCACGGTTTCGGCCCATTCACAAGCCCATCGAGGAGATCACCGAAGGACTCACACGTCTAGGGGCAGGTAGCACACTCCCAGTGACCACACCTCGATCGGGTCCCGAGCGAGAGGAACTACGCCAGTTGGACGTCATTTCCAATATGAAGAACGTGATAACACCAGATTCAGACAGGGACGTCGGAATCAGAGAACACCCCCACCAGAAGGAAATCGAGAGTTTGTTAATCTAGGAACTCCACCACCACCTCCCCTAAATGATGATGACAATGGTGTTGTCGATGAGGTTATTTCCAGATGTTGATCACTTGGTCTTGAGGTGGGGGTATACAAGTCAACCTTCAAATCTAGAAGCAGAAACTCTATTTTGACAACACTTTTGAAGTGAAGGAGAAAGCAAAAAAGACAGATCATTGTTATGAAGTAGAAAGTTTATCTACCAATTATATGTTTTTTTTGTTCTGAACAAAGTCCAAATGTAATGCATTGACGATGAGAATGGGATGTAATCTCCAACTAATTTCACAAAGTTTTGGTTATATTTTATTTTTTCTACTTTTGTTCACATTGAATCTACAAATTAATCAGACGCAAATTTATGCCTATGCAAATGACTTGTCAAATTTGTCTATAAGTACTTTCTTGGGAAGTTGAAACAATTGATATAGAGTATTTATTAAGGCTATGTGGGACACGAACCCACACCAATGTGCAAATTTGCACACTACTCTACCAATTGAGTTAATAGCCTTAACATGTGTAATTTTATCTTCTAAGATTCTCTTCAAATTTACAAAACATAGCATACTCCAAAATGAGGTAGTAATTTATAAGCATGTATTATGTACAGAGTATTTTCTCAAGACTATTGAAATCACCATGGAGTAATCAGTGGCCGTATTATTTTATTTTGTAAAACATAAAATGAAATCCCACAGTTAACAAAATGATGAACTCCCACGGTTACCACCACGGAACGGGTGGCCACCGGGGGTTCATCATTATCAAAATACACTGGCTTAGGGACAGGAGTGTAAACATAAGGCACAACAGAGGTTGTAGCATCATTAGGGACATCAGTGTGGTCTGAGACCACTGGACATGTAACCCGCTTCATAGCATCATTAGAGAAATCAATTACAGGGGCACAACCAGCACCAAATACATTAAAGTCAGCAGGGGCCTGAACCACAACATCAATTACACAGATATAAGGGGCAACATCCATTACAGGGACTTTTTAGAATAGAACGAAAACGTACTAGCATAAACTACTATGTCATTCTACTTTTCTTTGATTTATTTAATCCCAACTCTTCATTTGTATGTGATAAAAACAAAGTAGAATCTAAGAATTCTCATATAACTTTTAGCATAAAGAGTATAACTTATAAGAAAAAATGATAACTCGTTATTTAAAGATCAAATAGACTCACATAACTCGTTTTAAGAAAGTGATTTACAAATCAAACACAATTGAATGCATAAATGAGACAATAATCTATATCAAAGAGTAAAATCACACACACACATGGCATTCTATTTAATAATAGTATTATCTAACTTTTAAAGCAATACGTATAACTTCTAATCTAAAAATCGCAACTTTTGTCAATAAATCTCCAACTTCGCATACACACATTTCAGTCAACAAAAAGTGAACAACAGACCAATTTGATCATCATTAAACCCATAATAATTCACTTTTGAACACATTAAGTTCTCTTAAAGACGGAAAGGCATTGTGTCATAACACGAGATATGTAAGTTTGAATCCCACACGGGCTACACAATTAAATAATAGTTGGGAACTTGTTATATTTTTTGCTATAACATGAAAGTAACAACATAACACATGAACAAATTGCACGAGGTGCTAAGAAAAAACATATCTATCTGCTAATACAAATCTGGAAGAGCAATCGTACCAAACATCCATAATATAATGTGTGTGGCTAAAACAAATATAAATGTGCAAATTTAGCACATTACTTGCCATTTCATAAAAGTTAAAACTCTAAAACACACATTGTCAAGTTGATATTATACCTTTTAAAAGCCAAAGTTTGCACATATTGACTAACTTAAAAAGCATCTTATTCACGAACTAGTTTTTTAAAACCAATATAAATAAATTTAGAAACTGTCTTAGATTTAAGATATAAAAGGAGAGAGGCATTTTCATCAAATTGACGTCCTTATGGTTGACTTTACAATTTTACTAGACC